TTTTGCATAAATTGAAAAGAATGTGAGTGTTTTTTGTACAATTTTTTAAAAAAGAATAAAAATATTATGAAAAGTATATTTTAGGTATTTTGTTACCCTTACCCCAATTTATATTATATATATATACACACACACGTTACGCTTGGTGGTGGATGGTGTAAATTTTGGTGTTTGTGTGTGCGTGTGAGATAGAGAGGGGATACTCACAGTTAGAAGCAAAATGACCTTTTCTCTTGAGAAGGTCCAAGTGATATTAGAGAGTGAATACCAAAGCAATTTCAGTCCAAAACGTAACATTGACCAGGTTATACTTTTTCACAATCGTCGGGCTCCACACATTGAACGTGTCGCCGACCTAGAATGACACTGGTGGCTCTGCCGTGCGGACTATCTCTCCGACGAGTTCATCCACATGGCTCCCTATGACATGGAGCTGAGCCTCTTAGAACTCAACCAAGTTGTGGAACCGGTCGAACTCCACCGGAAGACCGTCGCTTACGGTAGCGTAACGTATGTTCAGACCAGATTCACGTGCTCCGGCGAATAGGTCATCTCCAGCGCCGTATGGATGGCCGCTGGATATCTGGTGGTCGATTGATTAGGTGTTGATGAAGGTGATGGTGAATCCCTTTGATGCAAGCTTCATGGCCAAATGGACGGCTGGGATTAGATGACCTTGTAGAGGGTATGCGAAAACAATCGCATGAGGCTTTTGGTGAGTGTCCGCCATTTTTCTCACTGAGGGTACGTGTGTGCGTGTGTGTTGGGGGGGGCGGGGGGGAGATCTGAGAGAGACTAGACTATCCGTATTAGCTTAATATATAGTGAACATTTGTCCTAAAATAACAAACGAATTATTATTTAGATGTTTTAATATTATATTAGAGTGAATCTATAATTAAATTACTTGAGGCCATAAAGATCCAACTAATTAAGACAAAAATTATACTTCTAAATTTTGTGAGTTTTGATCTGGTTGACAATCAACTAAACAAAAAAATAATGATTAGTATGTGAATAGTAAAAGTAAAAACAAACTTAAAAAGGTGTTCTATCATTTTATGTTATTTTTAAACATGTTTTTGCTTATGTTAATTTTATTTCTTTGAAAACACAAATTCTAACTGTAAATACATAAAATATATAAATAATCTATCAAAACATAAATAATACATTATATATATCATTTTAAAATAGAATTAAAAATCATTGTACATTTCCCAGACATCCCGACCCGTTCGCATCATATCCTTCAACTTATCGAAAATTTCCAACTATAAAGTAAGTAAGGGACCACCCTACAAAGTTCAAATTTCAAACTACTTCAATAATACCAAGATATTTCTTTATCACTCGTACCATGTTAAAAAGTTGAATACTCTCGTTCAAAAAGGAATATATTTCACTTATAATTCAAAAAAAAAAAAAAATTAAAAAAATGCATTATGATGAAATATAGTATTGACATTAAAGCAATTTGCAACAAAATATAATATTTTAGAGAGTATTATATACAAAATATAATTTAAGGAGGTTATTTGTAAATTCAGACATAACTCAAGAGAGTTTTTTTAGTTTACTCTACAATAATTTAATTCCAAACTTACTGTATATATATATCTGATCATAATATATATATATATATATATATATATATATAAACAAAATCAGCTATATTTCTGTTGACACCCATTTTAGTAAATTTTGTATTTATGACGTGGCAGTAAAGAATGTTGATATTCCACATAGATTGAAATTGAAATTGCATGCAAAGATGGGAAGAGTATTTTGAATTAGCTGTGGATAAAGATCATTATTTTAAAATTTATCTTTTAGTTAGTTTTAATTGCATAATTTTGTTATTTATAAGATTAGTTTATTTTAAATTTATAGTCTAGTTTTAATAGAGTTGTAATGCAAGTAAAATACTTGCATATTGGAATTTGTTTTACGAATTATTCTATAAATAAACAAAGGGGCATGCTGTGCTAGAGGTCTCAGAAACATTTATTATTATTGTTATTTTCTCAAGCTCTTTCCCAGAATAACATCCTTGTTATTTATCTCTCTTTCTTTCTCTCAATATGTCGTTCTATCTCTCTTTCTCTCAATCTCTCCCTCTATATTTCTTTATATATGTATTTCTCTCCCATTTCTATTCTCTCAAATTGTCAATACAAGAAATTCAGGTTTTAGGAACAGTCGAAACTGTCCCTAAAAGCTCTGAAACCGTCCCTAAAGGTCAAATTGGTCCGTGACAAAAAATCTTTAGGGACGTGACAAATAATTTAGACCTTGTATATACTGTCATTAATAAGGTACAAATTAGGGATAGTTTTAAGGACGGTATACCTATAATATTAGGGACGGATGGATGATCTTTAATACATTATTTTTTAATTATAATTATTGTATTAGGGACAGATGGACTGTCCCTAATACATTATTTTTTTAATTATAGACTGTCCCTAATACATTATTTTATATTTTTTATTTTTTATTTTTTATTTTTTTATGCTTAATTGATTTGTGGGTTTAACCATTCCAGAGACATGTAAAACATAAACAAAATAAATTTACAATAAAGTTCAAAAAGATATTACTAGCCATGAAACAAAATAAATCCACAATAACATTCAAGATTCATAAAATCTCCAGTTTTCTAAACAAAAACTAAAACCATCTGCTAGCACAAAAAATAGTTCCATCCTCTTGAAACTAGATTTTAAGTCATCAGAATACAACCCAAAAAAGATTAAAGAGTTTAGAAATCAACTAGTTGATCATCAAAAAGCTCCAAAATTTGTGTACCAAAAAATTTATCTCTTTATCGCATTAGTCATTCTGTTGGTTGTTGTGGTGGTGCTTGTTGGTGGTGTTGATATTGCCACCATGTTGATGGCGGCTGCTACTGCTACTGGGAATCTGATGGAGACTGTTGTTGGTGGAATCATGGTGGCGGCAACTGCTGTTGTTGTTGATATTGGATAAACAATATAAATAGGTATTATTTAAAGAAAAAACAAAGTTATTATTTTGCATATTCAGAGATAGGAATTCTAATTCATGGGGCTGTAACAGAATGATATTAGATGAGTAAATGGCTGTAAACAAAGTTATTATTTCGCATATTCAGAGGTAGGAATTCTAATTCATGGGGCTGTAACAGAATGATATCAGATGAGTAAATGGCTGTGTGAGTCTCTAGCCAATGAAAAAAAAAAAAAAAAGAAAAAAAAAAAAAAAAAGGAAGAAGTTTTTGGCTAAATGAATTTTTCCTGCTTCAACCAGTTATTCTGATCTATACACATGAACTCTTGTTCTGTCACTTCTGTGCACAGTAGGATATGGTAATGCACGCAAGTTATTTGTATGTGACTTGCCACTGTTTAACACAAATGGTATCAAGTTGGTCAAATGTAAATCCTAATCCAAAAGACTCATATTTCAATATTTTCAATTTTAAGATTTTAATTATTGTTTTCCAGTTTTTGACATATATCTCCACTTTTCTTCCAGTATTACTATATGCCAATATATATTCTGCTATAGGTTGTGCGCTTCTCCCCTCAAAAAAATTGAGATACATAAAAATAAAAATAAAATACTATATCCCGTCACATGTTCCCGTGATTTGTTTTTCCTTTCCATCTTTGTTTCATTTTGTTCAATTAGAAAGCTTCTGCTTTGGAATCTCTTGAATCATATATGCTGTTTTTAAAATGTTAATGTGATTTTAAGTGCTTTGAATTCTTTACCATCCCAGATATGAATAATGCTTTTGGAATTCTAAAGAATACAACATCTTGATTGCATAGCCATGAACAGAATTGGTAACTTGGATGTAGCAGAGGGTATGAGATTGGGTCCGTTGACTAATGACTGATGCAAACATGTCAATGCCCACGAGAATAATAGTAGTCTTTTTTAAAAGAATTTGCCCAAGATTGTATAACCACTAATTACAATTTTACTAGCAAAGAAAGCTGATTCGCTGAGGCTAAGGTGTGCATGAACGAATATTGTTTTGCAAAAGACTACTTTTGAGATTTGCGATTAAGAAAATTGGATTTAGAGTTTGTTTGGATTCCTCATAACACTTTGAAAAGAAACATTATGAAATTCAATACCTTGACAGAGGTGATAGTAAAAAAAAAAAAAAAAACAACGTAGGAGTGCATCTAAAATACTTTTTAAAATGGAAAACTCGATTTTATACCTCAATTGTTACATCTATTGTGATGCGATTGGAGGCTATGAAAAAAAAAAAAAAAAAGGTACCAATCCATAGTATCTGGGGCTTTACATTCTATAAATTATTGTAAAAAAAATTCTACCAATATTTTCTTTAGATCCTAATTGTATTTGTTTTTTAAAGAATGAATGCCAACTTATATTACAGTCCACGCAATGAATGAAAACCACACTTCATCGGCAACAATTCCCCAGAAATTCATAAACCCAAATTACCCTGGAATCAGCCTTTCAATATCCCATTAAGGCACTGCATAAGCTTTTTATCTTAGCAGAATATACTCTGTCCTAATTATTTCCATGGTTAACCTTACATTGAACTTCCAATATTATTCAAAAATGAACCACAACATGAAACTCTTTTTATTTATGAAATTCCCTAAAGACTTTAAAACTGCATAAATCAACTGAAGCCATTAAAGCTTACCTTGCTAAAATAAACGTAGCTTCAAATTTGATCATGCAAATCTGTGTGTGTATGAAAGGGAACCCATCTCTCCCTCTTTCCCCAAGCTGATATACATATTTAAATATCCAAAAATATGCATCTGTGTCATGGAAAGGAAAGCAAGCATTTCTAATAAAGGAGGTTCCATCAATGAAATAATAATCATTAAAAACCATAAAATGGAAGAATGAAAGCATCTTATAAAAGATCAAAAACAAATAATATATATCAAATTTGTTAGCCAAATCCTATGTCATTGTTTTTTTGCCAAGCCACAATGAAAAAAAATATATATGTGTATATATATATATATATATAGAGAGAGAGAGAGAGAGAGAGAGGGAAGATAAGATAAGCCTCTATCATTACTACGGAGTACAATGGTAAGTTATTGTGATTAAATAATACACATAAGCTACATAGCTAAGTTGTAATTGTCGAAGGTTAGGTAATGGCCTTTATGAGTAAAGATAAGAATATGACATAAAGACAATCCTGAATTTCAGAAAGTGACTCCCTTTAAAAGCTATATTATATCATTGTGCATAACGAGAAAAATGTCCACTTTAAGAAAGCCATACTTTTTTTCGCAGTTTTAAAAGCAACCTACATTTATATTCATTGCAACAAAACCAGAGGAGGATTAATATATAACACACTTCAATACATTTATATTCATTGGAATAGAATCGAAGTCGGAGAATTAATATATAACACACTCCAACTTTAGATATGCTTAAAATATAGTAGAACTTTATCTGAAGATTCGTAAATTTGGCTCAGTGATTTAAGAATGAACAACCTTAGTTGATTCCACTAAGTTCATTATGTAGAGTAACATACTGTGCATTCTATACTTCAATGCCTTTCTTTGCACCATATGCATTTGACTGGTTTCTTCATGCTTCTAGTCCAAGGTTATACTGTCCTGGTCAGTCCATGGGAGTCCAAAGGAGGACACTTAATTTAAGAGGAATATCACCTATAGTGTAGTCTTCATAGGGTATTAACGTCAATCCTAGAAAAAAAACAATGGAAGGATCCAAATCTCATTCATCCTCTCGCAATTTTCAAAATTATAACTTTTTGTCATCAAAACACATTTTCGTAATTTCACAGCCATTTTATTTCACAAAAGTCACAATTGAATGAAAGACTAAGGTAAGAGAGGGTCAGTAATTGTAATTGTCAAAGGTTAGGTAATGGCCTTTATTGTTTCAAATATTTATTATTGAAGTTTTTTTTTTTTTTTTTTTTTTGAAAAATAAAGCAACTGACATTAAATGATTAATTACAAACAGGCCCAATTGGGCAGCAGGGGCTGTGCCCAACCTGAAACAACCTAACATTCATTAACCGTCAAAATAACTATTAATTGAAGAGGTTATCTAAACCATCTCAGGTGAGATATTGGAGTTACTCTTCAAGACTAATGCTAAGAATCAAAGCAAAGCAAAGTACTAGTAAAATGAAAAACAAGAACAATATATAAATATCTAGTACACAAATCCATTTCACTTTACATTCCATGGTGTTAATAGGAGGAGGTAGATAAGTGTGAAAGATTAATGCAATCCCATTGTATTTGAGGAGTCAATTTTACATGTGTACACCAACAAATTAATTCATCAATGTCAAAAGAAGAACAAACATATTTATAAATACATAACTACTCGAGTTTAATTTGATATATAAGATTACAAATTTAATTGAATCAGTGCATTTCATGTCTCAAAAAGCTTACTTATTACATACACTAAACAATGAACATTGGAATTCACTATCCAGAAGACATACAAACTCTTATCAACTGGTTTAATTTAATTTAAGGGCACATCTGTTGAAACTAGAAGAATATATCTAATTGCAGGATGCCATACTGAGGGTTTCAGATTAAGCACTATGATAATAAAGCTAATTAAGGCACTGGGTATATATTGCCTCTCTCTCTCACACAAACACACACACTTGGGCACATTAAGCATTGGACTGCCTCTCTCACTCTCACTCTCTCTCACACAAGCGCACACATCAAGCTAGTGTTGTTCAGTTACAGAGATTATAATACAAGGCCAAATAATCACAACCAGAGTGGTTGGCCTTTTTCAGATATATGGAAGTAACTAAAATAAAATCATTCAGTAGGATAACATTGATCCTTACATCTTCATATAATCGAGAAGCATATACCAGTATATATCTTCATCTCTTCAGCCATTACAAACGTAGAAGTATACAACAATTGATCTTGCTCAGATTCTTGACACCGGACTGATTCAAACACGTAATAAGCACAAACTGGTGGGTGAGAAATGTGACAATATCCTGGTAAAATGACTCTAAATTATGTGAAACAGTTTTCATTTCTTTTATATAAAAAATATAGCTTTATATCTATACAAGAGAATAGCTGAGAAATGTGATAGTAGAGAGTAGTAGTACAACTTGATAACATAATCCCATTTGCAATCAATGTTTCCAAGTTAGTTGTGTATACTAGGGTTTAATTGTAAAACTCGAAAGACCAGAATCAAACCATCAAACAAGAATGCAACATAAGGTCGTGATCCAATTATATCCAAATACCTATCATCATAATTTAAGTTAAATATAAATGAATACAAAGCCATGAAATAGATGCTAACGCAAAAAGAACTTTTATATATATATATATATATATATATATATATATAAGGGTTTATAAAGTTCCATCACAATAGTGTACCTCTTAATTCTGATAGCCTCCTCTAATCCCGAGAATCTCTTCAAAGCAACAAAGAATCGCTTCTGCAAATGTGACTTTTTTCCTAAATTAAACACAATACAACAAACAAAATAGAAATAGAACACAGAATTCAAATTCTGTCAAAGTGATTTCACAGTGTAACAAGCACATAACGAGTTTTTTAACAAGCACATTACAAATCAAACTCGTTATATCTCAAACCTATATTTCCCACAGCAATTCAGACTCGAACCACAAGCCGACTCCAGATTTGTAATTTACCCCTTCGATTGTTAGGCCTTTTGCAATTTCGAAACCCTACAACATGCATTTGCATAAAAAAAACTAAGGTGAGGATCATTAAACCGAAGTGGGTATATGAATGTCAAATCGCAGATGGGGGTTCTCTGAAAATCGAAGAAAGAAGTATAATCCCTAAAATTTTGAAAAAAAAAAAATGTTGTACCTCAAGAGTAAGAGTCGTTGTCGGAACGATTGGGTCATTTGGCCTTTGCTGTTGGAAGCTAAGGTGGAAGAGCCTCTGTCTTCTGCGACGATGGAAGAGGGTGGAAGAGACTCTATCTTCTGCGAGGGTGGAAGAAGGTGGAAGAGGAGTGAGGGCTTAAGGCGGGTTAAGAACTGAAGATAGGTATATGGATCAGATGTAATGATATTAAACAACATAGTTCTTCAATATTTTATTAAATAAAATAATTTTATATATTATAATTTTGCTCTTACAAAAGCGCCAAAGAAGGAATGAAGCGCCAAGTTTTGCCGCCCTATTTTTTGTGGAATTGGGGACGGGTTATTTAAGGTTTTAGGGACAGTTTTAAAGCCCGTGCCAAAAAAGATGGTTTTAGGGACTGTGCCAAAAAATAAGATTTTAGGGACATTTTTTAAAGACTATGCCTAAAAAAGAAGGTTTTAGGAACAGTTTTTAAGACTGTCCCTAAAGGACTGTCACTAAAACCCATATTTCTTGTAGTGTGTTACTATATTTATTCATTGATAAAGTCCTTTTAATTAAGGTAATTCAGAACTCAAGAGAGGAGTTTTATTATTCTCTTTCTCCTTGCATCGCCTGATAGTCAATATTCTCAAAGATACTAGCGTTAATAACTCACACTCAAACCATACAATTGGTTCTGGCACGCCCGCAGCAAATCAAAATTAGGATCGGCTAAGCCAGCCAATTTTAACATCAACATTCTTAGCACGCCCGGTGGGACCCCACTAGGTAAGTGATTTATAGTAAAAATATGCAGTCGGCTTCTCAACCAACTTACGAATATTCTGATTAGTCATATCAGCCGATGTACCAGAATTCTAATCAACTATATGGTTGGCTAAACAATTATAAGCAACCAGTTACTGATTATCAGTAGACGCCAACAATTGATTATCGGCAAGTTCCAGCAGTCGATTATCAGCAAGTGGTAAACCAGTCACTAGTAGCCGATTATCGGTAGGACATACACGGGGGCAACTGATGGCCAATCAGTCATATGGTTGGCCTGAAAGTAATCACCAACCAGTAGCCGATTATCAACAAGTGGCAAACTAGTCACCAGCAACCGATTATCAGCAGGTGGTAAATCAACAAATGGGAGAAATAAAATCCCACATAAATCCCCAGATGGGAGAATTTAATTAGAAGGTATTTGCCCAATTGGGGGAAGAGATTATTCAGGATTTGAAAGTAATGAAGGCTCAGATATCGGCTATCCAAAGTCGTCATCAAGCTGAAAACTCGGCATCTCAACGAGCTCATAAATCAAATTTCAACGGATTTCTTTACCGTTGACAAACATTTCCCAAGGGCCATAAACAACTACGATAGGAATTGTCCCGCCGAACACAACTCTTGGCATGCCAATCGGCAATCCGCCGATAATAACAGAAATACCATTGATGCCGATTGAGCCGAATGTAAAATCGGCAAAGGTTATTCTAGAACGTCCACCAGTTATACCGATTCCCCCTCAGAGAGAACAACAAGATATGTAAGGCAATCAAAACCAAGGAAGGAACAATCCACGGGCTCCATTAGCACCACCGGCGGCTGCCGGGGGGCATGTGATTACAAACCCACAACGGGAGTGGGTTGATCCGTATGCTCCACTTCAGCCTAATGATCCTCCAATTTATAATGCAGAAATCGATAGGGCACTGATTTTAGCCCTAATCCAGGCTGAGGTAGCTTAGCTTAAGGGTGTAAACGTCCTTAGCCTGTGTACAGGAAACCTTATCTTGACCAGGTGGTAACTCAGCATGTCACCCCTGTATCACAACTTCCATTACATGAGGGGCTGCAGATAACCAGTACCGAAATTGGCCAGTCTTGTCGATCTCGGTAGGAAATTTTATCAGAAAATCAGTAGCAAAGTTTGCCAAAGTATTATCAGTCACCGACTGCCGATTATCGGCAAGTTCCAGCAGCCCGATTATCAGCAGGTGGTAAATCAGTCACAACAAATGATTTATCAACAACAAAGTTGGAAAAGTTATCAGCCTGGTATTGATGAATGGAAGGGTACAAATCGGCTGAAAGTAAAGCGGCCTATGTACCAGAATTCTTTGCCAATTGTGTGACATCTAAAAATCGGCAAAAACAATCATCAACTAAAAGAATTATTTTAGCTCGCTGTCCTCAGCCCAATTTTAAGAAAAGAAAAAAAAAAGACTAACTGATGTTAATTTCAATAAGTTACTTAGAGCTCAGTTGAGAAAATCGACTGAGACAAAATCAGCTAAAAGAAAATTAGCTAAAAGACCAGCGGCTATCGAGGGGCATGTGATTGCTAACCCCTAACAAAAGTTAGTTGATACATACCCTCCACTTCAGCTTGCCGATTATAGTGGGTAATGCTTACTGACCAATGGATTTTTGGGCATGATATAGTCCTATCGATTGAGCTTAATGTAAAATCGGCTAAGGCAAAATCAGCTAAGAAAACTCCTTACTGACACAATGTCATTGATCTAGTAGAGATAATAGGCAGATCAGCTTGAATGACATTTCACAGTAATTTAATTCTTGCCAATCATAATCAGGATTTGCTAACGGAGTTAGAAACACTACAAGAAAAATAATTTTTTACCACGGTGAAAAACGCTTTCGACCACGGTTCTGCACCGTCGTAGAAAGTCTTCTTTCAACCACGGTTCTCCACCATGGTAGAAAAAAAGACTTTCTACCACGGTGCAAAACCGTGGTAGAAAGTGTTATTTAATTTAAAAAAAATATATATATAGTGTAACCTATATGAGGCCTTTTTTTTCCTCTACTACTAGCCTTGTAAGGACCCAGATGCAAGCCCTCAATAAATAAAAAAATAGCATCATAACCAAAATAACTTACAACTGACCAATAACATCATATATATATATATATATATATATATATATATATATATATATATAACCAATTTCAAATCATTGTTTTATACAAAAATTATCCATATACAAATTTCAAAAAGTACATGATCCACACCTTATATCTTTACTTAATTAAAATAAAACAAAAATTCTTCATATCTTCTTGCTCTTGCTCTGTTTTAGTCTCTCTCTTCCTTCTATGCAACTTTTTCATGAGCCATACAAATAATATAGCGGCAACAAAAAAAGTAACGGCAACCGCAATCCCGCAATCTTAGCTTTGACCTACAAAGATGTAATAGTTGAAGTAAGAGAATGTAAAGCAAATTGTAAAGTTGCCAAAATTAAACCAAACAAAGCAAGCATTATAATAAAGGTACATTGAAAGATTTACTCTTCATATTAACTCAATATCTTGGGTCATTGACATCCAATCACCAAAAGAAATCATTTGAGTAATGAGCAACAAAAGTAATTTGACAAAAACAAATTACATTTGGTTGGTATATTGTTTATACAACAAGCTTATCTTCAATGAATTTTTCGTTTCATGTACCTTTTCAACAGCTGAGCTCTAGTCCTGAAGAGATGGCTGAGGTGGTTACGTTTATTTACTCACTACTATTTTTGACACGATCAGGTGAGGTACAATCATGGGGACTTAATAAGTTTGTCACAAAACCAACTTTCACTGAATTTTTGCCTTGTACTTACATACTGAAATACCAAATTTATTGTCACCTCATTGTTGCACTAAAACGTAGAATCGAACATAGTTTTAAAGCTGAAAGAAGTGTCAACAAAATCTGCTTGTAAGACTACTCTATATTCCTCTGGTCTATAGTTGTTCGGAATGATGTTGAACCCTCTAAAATAGCCATTTTTTCATCAGCCACTGCATTAACGAAATGGATGGCCTTAACTGGGCTGGATGGACAGCTTAAGGGGTTTAGTTTTCTCATGAACAAGTAGACCGGCCCGCATCCCTAAAGACGGGAGAGGCTAAGAAATAGCTTAAGGGAAAGAGTTTTTTATTACTTACGTTTATATATTAAATTTGTGCAAGAAAATTTCATGCAATTGTGATTTTTTTTGGTGGATTATTTCATTTGATTAATCACTAAACACATACTTGAGGGATTTTTTTTTGTCTAAGCAGGATAACACCAAGTAGTGGCCTTTGAGGAAGAACTGGCCTGGGCTTTTACTATTACCCCTTATTGATATTAATAATATTAGGTTAAAATTATAATAATATAAGATAAACAAAAATAGTGCAAAATAATTGTTTTTTTTTTTTTTTCTTAAATAGGTGAAGTCTGTTCTTCCTATTAACTCAGTACCTCTAGAACCTCTAGATCAGACTCCTCACAGCAAGTTGTAAAAAGAATACAATAGAATGGAGGTATTTACATGTGATATCCCCATTAGACAGTCATGAAAACTAATGCGAATACTATGTATACAATATTGGGTGAGCCGGGAATATCATGCCCAGGCTGCCCAGCCAATTAACTTTCATTAAACTGGCCAAGAAGGCAAGAACAGAGATACACCTAAAAGGGGGATCACCTACAAAGAACATTGATCCTACAAGACTACAAGTATTAGATAACCATATTGAACTCGATAAATATAGGCTAATCTTCAACTCTACAGCCGAAGAAACATGAACCTTCAGTAATAGTGGCAGCTGAAAGCTAGCTACTTGACTTAAATAAGGACCAGTACCTTCAACTTGGTACCCAATTCTTCCTTAGACTAGGCCAATTCTATCCCAATAAATCCACATATATATATATATTTTTTTTTTTTTTTGATAAGCAATAAATCCACATACTTATGACTACAACATGAGGAATTCTATGTAAGAGTGTTTTGGATTTCTATATTCAGACAAATTCTATCCTAAACAGCCTGCAAAGTTTTTAATTTTATATAGGAAACAGCTACTTTGGTCTTTTATGATGATCCACGATTAGTTGAAGCAAGGAATTTTTTAACATATAGAAAATTCCATTATTTAGGAGTGATATCTAGTGTTCTAGAACTGAGTTACTACATAGGAGATTTACAATACATAGTTGGAGGATTAATAAAGTTCATATGTTTGTAGTGATCCTATATATATACCTTAATATTATCTATACACTTTCAGGAAGAGATCTAATTAAGTATGATGTGTTTCTATATGGTAAATTCAATTATGTACAATAATTATAAAAAAATGGTCACTCAAGGCACGTGACCCCCTATACATCGCAAAATTGGTCACTTAAGGGACGTGACCCCCTATACACCGCAAAATTGGTCACTTAAGGGACGTGACCCCCTATACACCGCAAAATTGGTCACTTAAAGGCACGTGACCCCCCTGAGCACGAGTATAAAAAGCATTAAAAATGTGGAATCATAAAATTTGTTGTTTATATATTAATAAATTTTATTACTTTATATTGTACTTTGTTTCATATACAATTGGGTGCCCATATTAATTGACAGATTTATGCTTTATGCGGTTAACATCCAATTTATTACTAGCATGAAAAAAACTAGAATAAAAAATATATATATATATTGAATAATTGAAGAAATGACTTACCTGAAGTGATGAGAGCACTCTAAAAGATGGTAGGACCATAGGAAGCTGTAATTGTAAAAATTATAATCCACGATAAAGGCCTTCAGCTTATTCAAGACCCAAGTTCAACCCAAATTTACCAATTAGTCTTTCAAATCCTGCAAAGGGAGATCCTGTTTCAGTCATTATCTTCACAAATATTTATAACTAAAATTCATAAAATAATAAAAAAAAAAGTTTATAAAAATTTCACTAAATAGGATTTAGTTTGCAAAACAATAATTACAGACCATATATATACTACAATGAGAATGAAGGCAAAGCTGAAGTTCAGAGTGTTGTTACATAACTTAGACCCTCCAATGAAAATCAATACCAATTCCAAACCAAGTAATATTAACCATACAGCAACACCATCCCCAAAGAAAGGCACACCTAAAAATCAATCAAACCACATTCAAAGAATAAAAATTGAAATTCAATTGGATACATCTGAGTATTTGAACTTAGACCTGCTCACATTCTCAAAGAAGTTTGCTAAATCAGAAAATAAGGACAATACATAGACACCCGTCCAAGAAACTCCAAGAAACCGGAAAAAAAACATAGACAAAATACTAATATATATATATTATATATATAATATATTTATATTAAAAATAAAAAAATAAAAAAAAAGCGCACACACAGTATGAAGGAAAGTTTTATTGTGAAATGTATTAAGAATTTATACCCACGATTGAAAGGGGCTGAAGCTATAGTCACCATATCAAATCAAACCATATAATCATACAAGTTTTAATTCAGAAATAAAATCAAATAACTCCTCACTAATTAGCTAGTTCACAAGAACAGTAGACAAACTAAAGAAAAAATAAATTACAACTGTAAAATTAACCAGTACCAAAAACCCAATTCTGATACAAGTATGCAGTATCAAATTGACCCCTACCCAGTACTAAAATTTCAGACTTCCACAAATTCAGTCATTATCTTCACAAATATTTATGACTAAAATTCATAAAATAATAAAAAAAGTTCATAAAAAATTTCACCAAATAGGATTTAGTTTGCAAAACAAGAATTACAGATCTTGATTAATTGATTGAAAAAAAAAAAAAAAAAAACCAGACATACAAGTTAGCAGTTGCAGAGAGAGGGGCTTGAGAGTTGAGAGACAGAGGGCCTGCCTGGAACAGCGGGCGATCGAACCTGAAGGATATGGGTTTTGATTTTTTGAACAATCTGAAATGATATGCCGATATGGGTTTTGATATAGGTAATAGGTTTCTAAATTTTGATTCTTGCAGACAGATAGATAAACTGAATTATATGGGTTTTGAACTTCTGATTCTTGTAGATTTTGTAGTTTGCAGTTGCGCCGGGGGGGAGTTCAGAGTCGAGAACGAGAATAGAGATGGAGGCAATTGGTGAGGCTGAAATGATTTGCCCTAAAAATATTTATATTGAATAATTGGAGAAATGACTTACCTGTATAAGGGCCTTCAGCTTGTTTCAACCCAAATTTACCAATTAGTCTTTCAAATCCTGCAAAAAAATTCACTAAATAGGATTTAGTTTGCAAAACAAGAATTACAGACCTTGATTAATTGATTTTAAAAAAAAAATTAAAAACAAAAGCCATACATACAAGTTAGCAGTTGCAGAGAGAGGGACTTGAGAGTTGAGAAACAGAGGGCCAGCGGCTAAAGCTTGCAAACGGCGAACCCGAACTGGAACAGCGGGCGATGGAAACTGAAGTATATGGGTTTTGATTTTTTGAACAACCTGAAATGATATGCCGATATGGGTTTTGATATAGGTAATAAGTTTTGATATTTTGATTCTTGCAGACAGATAGATAAACTGAATTATGTGGGTTTTGAACTTCTGATTCTTGTAGATTTTGTAGTTTGCAGTTGCAGAGACAAAGAGAGGGCAAGTTCAGAGTTAAGAACGAGAATAGAGATGGAGGCGATTGGGGAGGCTGAAATGATTTGCCCTAAAATTGTATGTGTGTGGTCTGTACGTGTGTGAATATATATCTTTTTGTATATAAATATTTTTAAAAAAAAAATTAAGAAATTACCGAGAATAAGACCCGCATAAGCTGAGTGAAAATAATTCACGTTTTTACCACAGTGCAAGAATAAATTATTACCATAACTTTCCATTAACCTTGATAGAAATAGCTGGGATAACACCCATCTAAATCTTAGTGAAATAAATTCACTTTCTACCACGATTATTCTAAAATGGTGATAAAAAAATATAATTACTACCATAGGTTTCCATTAACCAAGGTAAAAAGGTTCTTCTACCACGTTTTTAAAATAATCGTGGTAGAAAGTATTTTTTTAAAATAACAGTGGTAAAAAGTATATTTTCTACCATGATTATTTTAAAACCATGGTAGAAAGTGCGTGGTAAAAAATTATTTTTTTTATATTGAAAATGCATGGGGCAAGTCCTTCCTAAATTTATGTGCAAGTGATATCGACAAACTTTCTGAGAATCTAGAAAGAAGCCTAAATTGACAGATTTGGCTAAATAAATATCATTTTAGGGGTGATTCAGAAGAAATAAAGTTTTGGAACTCGTTGATTTACAATCACATTCCAATTGATTATCTCTTCCCTTCCAATGTATTTTAAAATTTCAAATATCTTATCGGCTTGGGAGGCCGACAGCCGATAAGACATTTAAAATTGGGGGCATTATTGACACTCAATTTGGTAAATTTTGTATTGATGACGTGGCAATAGAGAAGGGTGATATTCAGATTGAAGTTGAAATTGCATGCAAAGATGGGAAGAGTATTTTGAATAAATTGTGGATAAAGATCATTATTTTAACTTAAAATTTTTAAGACTTATCTTTTAATTAGTTTTAGTTGCATAATTATGTTATCTATAGGATTAGTTCATTTTGAATTTATAGTTTAGTTTTGATAGAGTTGTAATGCAAGTAAAATACTTGCATATAGGAATTTGTTTTACGAATTATTTTATAAATAAACAAGAGGCATGCTATGTTAGAGGTCCAGCACTCTCAGAAACATTTATTATTATTGTTGTTTTCTCAAGCCCTTTCCCAGAATAACATCTCGAATAGCATCTTGTTATTTTTCTCTCTCTTTCTCTCAATATCTCCTTCTATATCTCTTTTTCTCAATATCTCGTTCTATCTCTCTTTCTTTCAATTTCTTCCTTGTTATATCGTTATATTTTGCTATATCTATTTCTCTCCCCTTTCTATTCTCTCAAATTGTTACTATATTTATTCATTGATAAAGTCCTTTTAATTAAGGCAATTCTGGACTCAAAAGAGGAGTTTTATTGTTTTCTTTCTCCTTGTTCTCTTTCTCCTTGTATCGCCTGATAGTAAATATTCTCAAAGAGACTAGTGTTGACAACTCACACTCTAACCATACAATTGGTTCTGGCACGCCCACTGCAGATCAAAATTAGGATCGGCTAAGCCAGCCGATTTTAGCGTCTATAATTTCTTACAATTTGATTATATCGTTGCAAGATCTAATTGTCTAAGGTTAGATTTACGTTTGAAAATATCATTTTTTTCATTTCAGATCTGTGACATCTAGATTATATTATTATAATGTTGGACATCTTTTTGGGGACAAAGAGAGTAGTATTAATTGAAAAATAGATTGATAAACTATTTAAGAAGAAAAATAGGTCAAAAAGAATAATAAGAAGTTTAATACTTGAATGTATGTATATATATATATATACACTGCTCAATCCCATTCACATGGAAACCTCAAAATACTAATAAACTGTACTTCACACCATCTTCATCAAGTTTTATTATTTACAGTTTATTACTATTTTGAGTTTTCCATATGAATCGGATTGAACTTACAAATTATTCACCGACAAAAGACTTAAAATGACAACTAATTATGTTCTAGGACCCAATGTGTTCTCGAAAAGTAGAAATTTTTGAGATTGTTGACTATTTTCTTCTTACCTTTGACTAATTCCCCCTCACACACGCGTATACTCAAAGAAAAAGAAAAATAAAATGAATGATTGTGTTTAGCAGATGGCAGAAAACTTATATCAAATGAGTAATTCCCCCTCACACTTCCGTACACTAAAAGAAAAAGAAAATGAAAATGAAAATGAAAATGAATGATTGTGTTTAGCAGATGGCAAAAAACTTATGTCAAATGAGTAATGAGAGAGGGTTAGATGTTTTTTTGGTCCATAATCCATATAGGGAGTTAGATTGACCATAAATTTAAGTAGAGGCTAATATTTAATGACATCATGATGTTGGTCCTTATTAAGATGTTTGAATTCTAAATTATTATTCATATAAAATTCATTTGATATTGTAAGGAAAACTTGAATCATGTAATCCGAAAAGGTTTAAGAAATATATATATATTTTTTTTCTGACACAAAAAATACCTTATTTAGTTGAGCTGCTCTTGCATTGCTATTAGGCAAAATTCAGTTAAAAAAGTTGATCTCCTAATCAAACTCAAAACCTTGTACAAATATTAATCAATAAGAGTCGATATATGATTCATATACTCACATAAAAATAATTAAAAATAAAATCATTGATTTCTACGTTAAATAACTTTAAAATTGAAGTTTGAAATTTTTTAATAAATACAAAACTATAGCAACACTTGAAACAATTCATATATAAGCTTCTTATTCACAAAAACTTTAAAAACGTAAATTCGGTGATGTTGTCAATTATAGCGTGACAAAATCATGTTTTTTGTGAATTACGACTTCAAGATCCATGATGAACTGATTAAAGCATTTCCCAATATTCTTTTTACCTTCTTAATCTCATTTCTCAATTCATCAGCTGATTTTTCATTCATCAGACGATTGATCTTTTCTGCAACTTCTCTTCGAGTGATTGATTTCTCATCACATAGATTGATCCCGATCCTCCAATAGTCGACAACTAATTTTCGATTAGTGAATTGATCAGTGTGTAAAGGGAAACAAAGCAATGGAACAGTACACCATACACTCTCCAGTACTGAGTTCCATCCACAATGAGTTAAGACTCCGATGGACGGATGCGAAATCACATCAATCTGAGAGCACCACGTCACGATCAACCCTTTATCTTTGACACCCTCTTCAAATCCAACTGGTAGGGAAAAGGTCTCCACAGAACTTACAATGTCCTGGCGAAGCACCCAAATAAAACTCACTCCACTAAGCCAAAGACCATGAGCTAGCTCCATTATGGTCTCTTTACTAACATTGACCAAGCTACCAAATGAAACATATAAAACTGACCCAGTGGGCTTGGTGCTGAGCCACTGGGTGCAGTCTGATTTGGACCAAAGGCTCGTGGGCACAATGCTCTTTGTGAAGCCAGAGGGGAAAATGGGCCCAATTGCGAAAGTAGGTTGCTTTTGATTGAGGGCTAAGATTGTTTCTGATTCGAGCTCATGTACAGTGTTACAGAGAATAAAATCCGCTCTCTTGACGCCATCAAAAGCCTTGAAGATGATCTGGTGAAACGTGGTTGACGTGTCTGTATCTTGAAGATATGACATCAGGTCCGTTGGTTGGATAGACTCAACTCCGGGTATGTAATCTATGGCGTCCTTGCGATTACCTATTGTATATATCAGATGAGCCAACCAATATATATATATATATATATATATCATCGTAAATTTCAAAGACAACTAACAGTGACATGGATTAAATGGTTGTACGAATATTCTGGATTTACTTTGAGGAAAAAAAATTTAAACGAAAAATATATATATTTGTGACGAATTATGAAATACAGCAAGAGATTCGACGCTATTCTCATAAATAAAAAAGTAATGATTATAGGAAATATTATGTGCACATATTTTCTATATCAAATTTCAAATCTATATCAAATTTCAAAGATAAACATTGTCAACATGAGTGATGGAAAAGGGTGGCAAGCGGCGGTGTCTACTGTCTGCAGACTGCATTGGCGGCGGTTCTGGTCAAAGTTTCCTTCTTTATTCCGAAATTTATTTCGGTCATTTCTCTCTCTACTCTCTCACTCTAATAATTCTTGCACATTTTCATATTTTTCTTTTTTTTTAGATTTCATTGATTTTCTTGTTCTCTATAATTTTTATTAAAATTTAAAAAATACCCCATTCATTTTGCCAAGTCCCTCCTTTCATATAATTTTTTGGGTTGGTTAATATATGTAGATGTATATATATATATATATATTTGTATATAGAAAAGAAAGAGAGTACAAGTGTACACACCTTGAGAAGAAGCAAAATGACCATTACTCCTTAAAAACTCCAAGTAATAGTAGAGAGTGAAGACCAAAGCTGGTTCAGTCCAGAACGAAACATGGACGAGCTTATACTTGTTTGCAATCGTCGACTGCCAAGCGTAGAACGTGTCGGCGATCAGGCAATTCAGAGCCGGGTCCGCTGTCCGGACTATTTTCCCGACAAGTTCATCTACCATGGCGGGGAAGAGATGGAGGTAAGCCTCCAGTACCTCATTTAAGTTGATGGATCGGTCGAACTCCAGAGGCAGACCGTCGCTGACAGTGACATAACGGATGTCCAGACCGGATTCACGGGCTCCGGCGAAGAGGTCGTCTCCGGCTGCGGCATGTGGTTGGGCTTTGCATATCTTGTGATGGGTGGATTCAACGTTGACGAAGGTGATTGTGAAGCCCTTTGATGCAAGCTTCATGGCCAGATGGACGGTTGGGATTACATGACCTTGTAGAGGGTATGATATTATTATTGCATGAGGCTGCTTCTTCTGAAGTTCCTCCATTTTTGTGTGTATCAAGGAGAGAGATAGAAAGAGAGTATATCTATATATCCTCCATTTAATTATTTATTTAACAATTGTTCTAAACAAATCAACCTGAGTTTAGCCGGCAACGTCATTGTCAACGACTCAACATACAGTCGTAATGGGAAAATTTTAAATTGACCAAGTGTGTACGTGAGTTTTAAGTGGTTGCTTGGTAAATATATATATATATATATATATATATATATATATATATATATATATATATCACACACACATATATATATATATTCATTTTGGAATTGTTCAAAAACTATTTTTTATTTTCAGAAATAATGTGTCTGAAGGCTGGGTTAAAACTTGTTCGTTTGTAGCTCAGTTCCTCAAGATTTTGACAAGCTCAAAAATTAGAGTCCAGTAGCTTGTTCAAAATCTGATATAGTGTGGTCAAAATCGTTTTGGTTTATTCATAAATTAATAGAATCTTAGACAAGTTTGTGTATAAATTTATGTTCAGAAACTTGCGTTCATGAATCACAAAAAGTATAAGAGTGATGTTTTCACAAATTAACGGTATCAGGACTTCTCAAGGAGGTCAGGATTCAAATATTAGTAAAAGCATGTGTATATGAATACTAATTAAGAAAAAAAAAAATACAAGTCAATATGAACTAAATATTAATGGTCTGAGTAAAGCTTAACAATGTTTAAAATCAGCTCATTTATTAAACGAGCTTAAAAATTGAATTCGAATTTTGATCGTTTATTTAATGAACGAGCTCAGGAGCTTAAGAAAAAATAAAGTACAGTTGCATTCTTGCCAATTCCTAAAATTTCAGGAATTGGCCAAAAATGTATTACTTAATTGAAATGCATTCAGCAAAACTTAAAAGCCAAATTTCCTGAAAAGGTGCATCGCAACTGAATATTGGTTATTGGATCATTTCCATATTTTTGGGGATGTACATTGTTCCGCTCATGAGCAAAATATACAGAAATGTAACATTTATATCAAAGTCGAAAGACAAAAATCAGTTGCAAGTTTCTCAACATCTATTCTTTTTGTACAACACAGGAAGCACTTCTTGATCTGCCACTTTTTGATCAGGAAACACTTTTCCATGGAATGTCAGATTTCTCATGGCTTGCAAAGCCCTTTCACAGAATTCCTCAAAATCAACTACACGGGGAAATAATTCCAGCCACAAGTTTGTGCGACATCTCACCTTCTGCTTGCCCAACAAATCTAAACATGCTGTGTTTCGGGGTTTGGTGTGATATCAAACTTCGCTTCCAATTTTATAATCTGAGAATGAAACAGTTTCTCGAGCTTCTACTGTTGATGCTGGTTCTTTCTTGTCCAACCCGAAGAACGAGCAATTTTGAAATGCATCCAGACTGCTGGCTATCAGGCGGTTCATGCCACTCAGGCTATCACTTAAAATTAGATCTTCACTATGGTATCTACATGCAGGCAAATCCAAATCTAATGGTCCTAAAGAGTCGGGCTGCAATGTGAAAAACATGGAATTACGCCATTTATTCAGATAATCAACATGGAATAGGCAAAAAATAACTCAATAATTAGGTGATTTGTTAAGTTTTAGATTGACAAAAATTGACCAACCTTGCTAACTACTTTTGTGAAAAATCAGAGGTTACGGACAAAGTCACAAGTGAACCCTCAGAAATTTCTCAAAAAAATAAATAAATAAATAAAATAAAAAATCAGGGTAGGAATAGAAAAGAAAATAAAGAAGTTGATTTACCCAATATATATCTGTAAGCCCGTTGAGATCCTTTGAAGAATTCTCGAAGGTATGTGAACCAGGCTGACACTCATCCATCAGGTCCACATGAGCAAGATCATCATCTAAAGGATCTCCGTGAGAGTTATCAACATCCACAGGATCTCCATGAGCAGGATTATCATCCATAGGCCTCTCTACATCAAGGAACTCCTACAGAAAATAAATAATTTTACAAACAGTTTCACTTTGAAAGCAACTATTGCTCTTAAAAGCAGTAAGGTTTCAAAAGAGTAAGCTTGTAAAATAAAACCTCAACGGCACCGCCAGATCTCTCTGAACTAATTCTCGCAATCTCTTTGTTGGCCTCCAGAAAAGCAATCTGGGATGCACTTTGAATCTCCTTATTGAAAACAGTAATCTTTTGAAATGAGAAGGCATCACATGTTTCTTCAGCATCCCAAATAGAAGACATGTCGGATGCCAGAGCTGGCTGAAATCCAGTTTTGTCTTGATCTCTGTATATATGAGCAGCAATTGCAGCATCAAATGAATCACAGCTGAATGGAATCTGTGGAAGACATTGAGGACTTCCAGGAAGGGTAGGATCAATGCAGTTGGAATCCATATCATGAGACACCTCCAAGAGTAGATCCCCGACACTTATGTTGGTAAGGCTATCAGCCCACTCCACCGCTGAAAATGCATTGTTGTTGTGTAACCTCGCGTCATCCTAGTTATTGAAACAAATTCGAAGTTCAGACGAATAACAGACAGGGAAAATGTCCACAACATAGTGTTTCATGCTTTAATAAGCAGCACCGCAGTAAATGCATTTCATGAAGAACACTGGTTTTCTACTAGTAGAAGAACAAAAGTTTCACCTACCCTCTTTTCTACTAACATGTCAGGAATATACCGTTTGAGTGGAAATATCCGCTTAAAAAATTGTAAAAGGAAAAACATGGCACCATTTATGTCGCACACTAAAGCATAACTATTGCAGTTTGCTTTATTCGTAATTGATATTTTGTCATCCGCTTGATAAAATTAGAGGAAAACCTGTCTTGTCAGAGTTTCTTACAATATATATAGTGCTAAAGGAAAGGTGACAAGTAGCAACATAAACAACAATCTTTTATAAAGCAGACTATTATATGAGCAATGATGCCAAGGAAATGACAATTTTATAGGGAAATTAGCAAACCACAAGATAAAAAAGAACATAAGTCGTCACACTGACTAACAAAAAAAAAAAATACAGCATGTTAAATAAAAAACACTGACAGAGTCAGCAAACATATGTGCACTTAAAGAACCTACTTCAAGAAAAATATACTTCTTCACATGCTTACCAGCGGACAGGAGTCATAGGATTCATTTTCAAATCTCTTAAAATTGTGCTAAGACGTGCTGCATATCTATAAGGTTGTGCTAGTTAAAATAATTGGTTCAAATTACAAAGTTTCATAGTGTTATGACTTATGAGATGCATGAGTCAATAACCTGCATTCATGTATATGTCATGACAACATCCAATTTAACAAGTTTACTAGCATGTTGGTAGAATATAGGAGTAGTACCATAATTTCCCGTCGTCTCGTGATGGCTCTGGTGCCACTCTCCCTTCCATGCAATGTTATTGTTGGTGCACAATTAGAAGACTCCAGCAGTTTGTTGTTGGGATCTGAATCGGTGCACTCAACCATCTCACCGGGCAAATCTGTGGAAGAGGTAACATCAGCGTTTTCTGTCACTGAGACCTCTTTATCTTTATAAGCATCCATTTGTTTCTCGGGTTGTTGATCAGCAATTGGTGGAGAAGCTACTGGTAATGAATCCACAATCTGCTCCTTTGTATTACTCGGGTGCATAATACACTCTTCCAGAATGCTACGCGATGCCAAAGGTGCTTGAAGTGTTGTGGATCCAAGCTCATTGTGGGAAAACCAACCATACCTTCAACATAAATAAATAAATAAATAGACTCATACATGACGTTTATGATGTGGACATTGCCTTTTAAGAGAAAAAGAAATAAAGAAGAATACCTCAAGCGGAAAACTGGTGGGCTTCCAATCAGTGCATATACATCTGCCGCACAAAGCATAGAGTCCAAAGTCCATCTCTGATAACCCAAAAGGTTTTTCCTCTGGGCGCAGTAAGGAAAGATCACTAGTTCTCCTGATGCTATGCTAGAATTTCCCCATTTGCGATTGAGATGTTCCAAAACTGAAGATATCTTCTTCCGAGAACTTAAAGTGAGCTCCAGGTGTGGATTATGATCATCCTGTGGAAAAAAATAAACACGGCGATAGTTACTAAATGTTCTTTGCATCATTCAAATTCTAAAACTTGATTCTACATAAACCCATAAACATAATTCCATTAATACTCACCTGTTCCAAGGCTCTTCGAGTACCATCATCAATTGGGAACAACTGAAGCTTGAGTTTCACGGAAGTTTGTGTGTTGTTCTCCATAAACAGATTCTTTGAAAAAGTTGGCATAGGGGGGAAATCTTTTCCAACAGGGTCCAAAACCTTTTGCCCTGGAAAGTAGAATGCAAAGAATCAGATAGTGTTCACTGTTCAGAAATTTCACATCAGCCCTACAATCAGTTCCTTCTGAGTTATACCATTGGGCAAGAGCTGGTCCTCAACTAGTGGATTCTGGACATGTTCAAGCTCTCTATCAGTGGCTGTCCGTTCCAAATGCTCAGCAGCATCAGCAACTAATGAAACCCCAGCAATTGCAGCCTTCTCCCATCTTTTATATGCAGCTGTGGTGACAGTACCAGCTAGACAATCAGCAAAAAAACAAATCAATACAAAAATGATCAATGCAGCATTGAACTATAAAAACACAAAAATGAAAATTTGCATCTCTACATTTTAGTAAAATAAATAAAAGGAATAAAAATCATCCAGAGAAAAAAAAAAAAGAACGAAAAATTTTAATTTTAGTAACAGGATAATGGGGAAATAATAAGCAAATGCCAAATGCTATTTCTGTTCATTCGCTCAAGGCCTTTAAAGGCAATAGTAATTGAACGTCTTTCATGTCGATTTAGAAGGATCAAAATTATATTACGAAGCCAAAGAAATCAGCTGAGGGAAAGTCAATTCTCTTTCCAACTCATAAATATTTCTGTTGGCATATACTATTCCTGAAATAGAAAATTAACATCCAGGTCTCATCTTGACTATCAGTGTAAGGTGAGAGACTGAGAGTATACATTGTGCACTCAAACAAAAGGAACAAATCAAACTATGTAGTATAGTCAAGCCCACAACTTCTTATATTACTGTGATTTGAATTAGACAAGGGTAATAAATTCCTGATCCAGTTACATCTTATAGTCTTTTGTGGGTACACAATAGGAACTAAATGCACCAGTAAGAAGAAGAAGAGGAGTACAGATTCGTATAGAGGGTAAGAGACAGAGACAGACGGAAACAGAAATTAACATGAGATGAAGTTGTTAAGAAGGATTTTAAAAAGTTAAATATTGTAGGAGAGATGGCTTGTAGTAGAAATGAACAAAAAACTTGAATTCATGTGGACGACCCCATAATGGAATTAAGGCAAGGATTATGATAATTATGATGATACTTTGTTTCCTTGTAAAAAGAAAGTCTTATCAAATGCTCAAGATTTATTGGTCATATGTCAGCCCATGTTTTAGACATCTCAGTCTCCGTAATTAATAATTTATTTTAATAACATAAACACGTCCAAGATGTGTCGGACACTTAACTGGAAAGTGTAATGTCCAATACGTGTCCAACACGGATATGACTCCTTCCCAGAGTGCCAGTGCTTAAGCTGGCATTGTACTTATACACTTACCAGAAGGGGGAAAAAGCGTTATGCTTGTGACATCCATTCCATAATTGAAATTTAGGACCCCATAACCTATTACGATTCAGTTTAAAGCAATGCAAACAAAGGGCGACATATTAAACTCAGCCTTATGCTCCATTTGGTTGGAGGGATGGAAAAATGGTTGGAAGGGAGAGGGATGGATGGGGCATCTCTAGGGAAGGGAAGGTGTCTCCCTCCCTTTTTGTTTGGTTGAATGAAAGGGATAGTAGAAAGGATGGATGAGATGACACATTTTTTTTGTTTGGTTGGAAGGAAGAGAATGAGAGTTTTTATATTTTTTATACCAATATACCCTTATTATACACGTGAGAGCATTTCAGTAAGATTTAACAAGTTATTTTGTAAGTAATTAAAGATTAAAATTGGTATTACAAAATTGTAGATTAACTTTTCTTTCTTTCCCTCCTGTCTTCTGCCCAACTTTGGACGGATAAAAAACTTTCCAAAAACACGGGTTAGGAGGGATGCTTCCCTCTCTTCCCTTCCTTCCAACCAAACAAGGGAAGCTTCTTCTATCCAGACTATCCCTCCTCTCTTCCATCCTTCCTTCCAACCAAACATAGCATTAGATAAATTGAATACGAACTAACTACTTAAAATGTTACGACAATTATAATATTGAACTATTAGATAATCTATCTTCTAAATGTATCATTTTCCCTCTAAGGAAAACTAATAATAGTAGTATTCAAAATATAGAAAGCATGAAAATCACCTGCTTTACGCCGTTGTCTCACTGCTCTCACAGAAGAGGAGTCTCCTTTGCAGTTGCTATGATTTACGTTTAAATTTACATTACGCCTTAGTGAAGATCCTTTTCCAGGTCCTACTTTTTGAATGTTTTGGCTGTCAACAAGAACTACTTTAACTGCAGGAGAATCATGTCCGTGCGTTTTTCCCTGATTCGAGATGATTGTTGGAGCTGAAGGAGGACAGTTCTCCCCCTGAGAAGGTCGTTTTCTTATATTCTTCTTCCGGTCTTTCAAGAGTTGGTGCTCCTTCATGGCAAGATAACCTCATCAGTCCAGAAAATACAGAAGAAATCGAGTTTCATGTACAGAAAAGAATCCAAAGAAGGAATACAGATAGTCTCGACTAACCAAGTTCTCTATAAATATCTTAAACCTTCGAGGCTTCAGGTGAAGCTTCGAGGCTTTGCAGCTATACTTTTCCAGTAATGACCACCTGTAACACAAATCACACAACTTTTTATAAAAACAGTGATCTTTGATCATGCCACAACATAGTATTCCATATTTGGGAAACCAGTTTTTGTCAATCTATAACTAATATTCACTGTTAATTATAGAAACACAAAATAAGATAAGGTTTTGTTTGGTTAGCGTCAACTAGCTAGAAAGGAAAAGAAACGGAAAATTTTTAAATTGTTTTGTTGTTTGGTTAGCGTGAAAAGGAAAGTTTTCAGGAAAGTGATATTCCCGTAACTGGTTCATTTTCCTCAAAATGTTTCCTCTATAAAACACGCGAAAATTTCAGTTTCCCGTGAAAATTGTATCATTATATGTTAGTTTCCAATTATACCCTTGTCAGTTATTTCTCTTCCTTCTTTTTTAAACTCACAAAAGGAGTGGACTTCTTTTTTATAAATCCTAATTATATTACAACTTTCTAACTCTTTAATTTAGGACTCCTAATTAAGTTACAATTTTCTGAATCTTTAAATTAGGACTCTATATATATATATGCACGCACATATATCTTTATTCATAAAACAATTATTTATATTTTTTATTATGCTTGTTGCATGATGTATATTACTTAGTATTGAATTCATGAGGATAGTTTTGGCATATAAATCATTTTCTTTTCACTTTCTTGCTAACCAAACTAATGAAACAACATTTTCCCACAAAAGTTTTACAAAAAAATCATGCTAACCAAATGCATGATAGAAACATAATTTTCTTTTCTTTCACTTCACTTTTTGTCCTTTCACTTTCTACCATCAATTTCCGGCTAACCAAACGAACCCTATAAGATCCACAGTTATCATGCTTCTTTGATAAAGTTGGAATCAAATATAAATAGAATTATTGAGGTGCCAATTACAATGCCAAAACTTATCATAGTTAGCTAATTGTTATACTTCCTTCTACACATCTCTAAAGTGTACATACCATAATCACATACTGCTCCTATTAAAATTACCTCTAGGTCCCTATACTAATAATTAGAGCTTCGCTACTAGGAAAGAAAAATAATAATAATAATAATAATAATTAGAGCTTCGATGTTGTTCACTAAGATATGAGATTCCAGATTCCAATATGATGTAGAAACATATACTATTTGATTGGTTATCAAACATCTACCCCAGAAGAATATTGAAAATCAGAAACAAAAGAATGTTGAATAACCTCAGTAAAAGAACAGGAGGAAATAGCTAATTCTGTCAGTCAAGCAAAACGTTTTTTCAATTTCATTCATAATGTATATTTTCCAAATACAAGGTCATAAAATTTCTCATCCATAACCTGAAGGATAAAAATGGCAGAGAGAGAGAGAACAAAAAGAGAATTTATACACAAACTCTTCAATTTGACTTACAATCCTATGCCAGGATTTATATATAGCAGAAGTTAATTATATATGGCTAGATAAATATTTCTAGTGTCCAGTATATATACATACATAGATAGACATATAGATAAAATTTGGTGCTACATTTCTTCAGCAGATGTACAGCACTAGAATAATCATTGAAAGAGGGACATCATTGTGAAAAAATGAGCTAAAAGAACTCCAGCAATAGAGGGGGGAACGGACTAACCCACTACGTCAAGAAACAAACAGGCTATCGAATCCTTAAGTATCAATTTCTGTCAGAATTACTTGAATAACATAATGAACCAAGATGCATGTGTGTCTATATATATATGCATATATATATATATATATATATATATATATATAGAGAGAGAGAGAGAGAGAGAGCATGCACAAATTTTGCAAAAAAAATAGAGAACAACAGAGGGACTAAAGCTGGTCCAGTTTCAGGCCGCTTCTAAAATATGGGTCCAATTACATTGCTCCAGCAATTATAAATAAAGTATCTGTTCTTCGGATAAAGCCATCTTCAAGAAAAATTCTGCAGACCCAAATGGCATGCTTGTTTTTAAGATGCACGGATCTGTACAGGATGATGACATAGATCCTATGCAAGATCTTTGGGCTATGTACTCTCAAATCTCAAACAATGAATAAGATTTGCAGAATGCAACATCATAGTGTACCACACTATTTGAAGGAATTTCATAACTAGGTGGCAGGAAACCCATTCGTTTTGAGTTAAGAAGAGCTAAGAAGCACCAACACTTCTACAAAGTCACCATGTACATGTTGGACACAAAGACTTCATGGACATTCCTGAACACACGTCCGACACTTCACAGACATGTTCGTAATTTAAAAAAAAAAAAAAAAATCATTATTTTGTACATTTAGGCTACTCGTCCCACACTGTCCAAACAAGTTATATATAATACAAACACATCTAAGAGTAACCACATTTAATCAACTTGGAAACAATATAAACACACCTCAAAATGCCCAACCTTTCTTTAAAAAAATAAATAAATAAATACATAATAAAAATTAACATTATACACACGATCAACACAACTCAAGCATGCAATGGGACAAAAACATAATTGTATTAACAAAGTAGTAGAGTAATAGCATATATAATATAATAATTTCTTAGGATATTTGCATAGTTTCAACTTCTAAATTAATTTTAACTCTTAATATAGAAATTAAAACTTAAATAGAATTCTATAATTGTCTTACTCAATATATGTGTAAAAATAAAACCAATATTTATATTAGTTGTGTCCACATCGTATCCTTCTCCAACATTTTAGAATTCGATGTGTTGGACTATCCTATCGTATTGTTTTTGTGTCCCACATCCGTATCTGTGCTACTTAGAAGAAAAGTTTTCCTTCAAAAAATACACCCATATCTAAATTACTCAAAATAATAATAATAATACAGTGGCATGAAGTAATGGAATAATTTCAGTTGGTGGTTAAGAGCTACCATCGAAGCATTGCAGCATTAGTATCCTTGGAGTTTTTAGCATCAAGGCATAGTTCTGGACCCAGTAACTTGTTCATTCTCCTAACAAGACGATAGTAATAATGTCTGACCTGCAAAACACAAAAAACAATAAAATAAATAATGAGAAGATAATAACCAAGATGCCAAAGGTTGTTGGGCTTAAGGACTGTTGAATTGAAGAACAATCAAAAATAGGGATTCACCAGATGAAGATTCAAAAAGTAATGACAAAGCAAATCATGGAGAGCATTCTACTTAGTGAATAAGCAAATCACCTGATCTTTGTTTTTACTTTGAACACGACAAGTGATTTTCTCAAAGTTCTGTGAAAAAAGACGTGATATATTTGTAGTTAGGATATATAGTAAAAAGAAAAAAGTGAAGTGCCAAAGCACGTCAATATAAAACATGCCTTGCCAACTTGTCGTAATGCAGTGAAGAAGCTTTCCTCCTCTTGACGTGTCCAAGCAGCCCATTGCCGTGTTTGTTTTTTCACTGCATTAAGAACAGCATGCAAATCAGAGGTATGACCCAAGTCACATAAAGCACTGCATTAAAAACAGCATATCAATCAAAGGTCCGATCCAAGTCACATAAAGCGGGAGCAGGAACGATAACGGAAGTGAAAGAGAGCACAAAACATCGAACTCCAATTTTTTACAGGCAAAGAGCACCTCCAAAGCATTTTTATTTGTGTGTATACGTATATATACTATATATAATTACAAAACATTTTAAGAATTTCTTGATCAGTTTGCATATTTGTAAGAACACATTAAAGACTAGTCCATGACAGTTACGATCATCATATAAATACCAAGAAAACATGGTTTAGGAGTAATAAAATAAAAAATAAAAAAATGTTTTATGTAAAAATAATCATTTAAAAAAAAATAAAAGAAGTGAGTTGTGAACTTGTGAGGCGTATACCGTATTCATATAGGAGCAAGAAACTTCAACCTACTGCCCTATTGCACTGGCATGATAAAAAAGAGGAAGATCCAGGCAATGAGAGAAAAACAAAAGAAAATGAAGAACACCAAGGCTTCTACAATCAGCACCGTCATCTGTCTTTATCATTCTATATAATTTCATTATCCCTTTTTACTATAATTTAATAAAATTCCTAAAGTACACAAAAAAATTTAATGCATAAGCTTCTAAGATTGACGATAATCGGGAATAAATGACGGGGGGAAAAAATCCACAGATCTGAAATTTGGAGCATGCGGATTTCGGATTCTCAGTACACGGAATTCGGATTCGCATATTTAGAGCGGATCCGCACCCAATACACCGATCATAGCGCAGAACACTGGATTGATGCCTCCATGAACAATTTGTGGATTAAAGGTACAACTTGTTATTTCCAGATTAGAAAAACATCTATTAAAGCACATTAATCAAACAAACAGACCAAAAGATACAAAACGAAAAATTTCAGTCCTAATAACACACCTGGCTGCTGAGGTACAGCATGATCTTGTGAGGATGGGGTTTCACCATCATTTCCATCCCTCATCAAAATATTCTCAGGATGGAGGCGTGCCTCACAGTCCAAGGAGACCTGTGGCTCCATTTGCATGCATTAGACATCAAAAGGATACAAGACTCATGCCTTTTCAGCTTTGAAGGTCTCAAATAATGCTCTCTTTGACCTACAAACAAGTGCAATTTCCAAACGCAATGTCTAATTGTAACAAAGGAAACAGATTTAGCATCTAAAAAGAAAAAAAGAAATCAATTATACAAAATAGCTAATATTATTATGAAGATAAAAAATAAATAATAAATAGAAACTTAGCCACGTATACTCACATACTTTTAAACCCCTTTTATCATGCATATATGAATTTATAAAATGTGCATATATGTATTTATAAATCGTGCACGTGCTGACGAAACCCCCCTCCCCTACAAGGAAAAATTATTCATTAAATATGATCATAAGTTTCATGAACCAGAAATAAGTATATATGTAACGGGTAGACATTATCATTTTTCCAATTTAGCTTCCTGCATGCACCAGATGATAATCAAGACTCCTATATTGCTGGAAATTTTCATACTCTCAGCTGAAGAAACACCCTAACTATGACTTCTATTTTTTTTTTAAATGATGAGGAATATATATTAGGAAATATAAAATGTGCATATATGAATTTATAAAGCATGCACGTGCCGACAAAATCCCCCACCCCCACAAGGAAAAATCTGTTCATTAAATAAGACCATGAGTTTTGTGAATCTGCAATGAGTATAAATGTAAAAGGTAGACATTATCATTTTCCAATTTAGCCACCTGCATACACCAGCTGGTAATCAAGACTTCTATACTGCTGGAAAATGTCATAATCTCAGCTGAAGAAACACCCTAACCATGACTCCTATTTGTTTTTTAAATGGTGAGGAATATCTCTGTATTAGGAAATATAAGACGTGCATATATGAATTTATAAAACATGCACGTGCCGACAAAATCCCCCTCCCCCACAAGGAAAAATCTGTTCATTAAATGAGATAGTAGACATTATCATTTTTCCAATTTAGCTTCCTGCATACACCAGCTGATAATCAAGACTTCTATATTGCTGGAAAATGTCATACTCTCAGCTGAATAAATACCCTAACCATGACTTCTATTTTTAAAAAAATGGCGAGGAATATCGAAATATTAGAAATTTTATTTACCAGAATTTAAATGGGAACTGATTGAACACTGTTTGGTTCCACAGAATGAATAGATGTATAACTTGAAATTGAAAACGAAAATTCCACCTTACTTTGTTCAATCGCTTATTTGACTTGGTTGGACAAAGCTTTTTCATTTTCTTAGAAACTCAAACAACGAAAGAATGTTAATGCCAAATTTACTACTTTTTAGACAACATCCAATGTGAATATTCACACACAATGCTTTCAACAATTCAAAGGCAAACTCAATTGGCTAGGACCATATATTGCCTGAAGCCCTAGCCCAAGAAACAGAGAAAACGCTAATTTCTGAAATTGGTTAACAAGCATCTCTGAAACACAAAATGTACATACGTATACAGAATTACAAACCCATGCATGTATATATCAATGATATCATACACAAATACATCACCACCAAAGAGGTTAGATACAAAAATTCAAATCTGTGCCAAACACTGAGGAAGCGTGACAATTCAGCAAAAAAAAATAAATTAACAGATCAAGAACTATAATTGCAACAGAAATCAAGTAGCAGATTTCAAATTACACCATTATATGAGCAAAATTTTCTTAAGATAATTCCAAAACCTAATCAAATAGGTCAAGTCAAGTTAGATAAATCGTTCGGGAATTCAGTAGCGAACCCTATGATCTGAATTCTCTTTCTGGAAAAATTAAAGGGCAAAACTTGACATGCATATATATGTATATACATATATATGTGGTATACATATTCAGACAACAAACACCGACATAGAGAGAAGGAGGTTTCTTACCAGCAAGCAAGTGAAGAGAGGAGAGAGAGAGAGAGAGATGGCAAAGCTGTTCAAACCCAGACGGGCCAAACCCAAACCCAAACCCTAACGACAATAAGGTCACCTTTCCATCACCCGGACGGTTACACAGATTGAACACAACACGGGGCAAAAACGTACATTACTTTTCAAAAACAATAAAAGTATTTTGGAGTTTTTATTGTAGGTAAAGCATCTTTGGTGCTTGCTTGTTTTGGTTTTGAAACTTTGTGCAAGTTTTGGTTCTTAAATATTAATAAAATAAATAAATAATAGAGATGGAAAAATTACATTAGTGAGTTGTTTTCAATAGCATTTTGTCAAAAAAAAAAAAAAAAAAATCTTAAAAAATTGTCAATTTTTTAAGTAGTTATATTAGTCCAATCATAAATTCTCACTAATTTTTATTATAATACTATGGTATCTGTGGTCGACCTCATCTATATGGAAATAAGACAATAATGATGATTCTATGTCATATTTGGTAAAGTAATATCAAATACCCTAATAAAATTCAAGATTTAGAATCATAAATAAATTTTCATAATACCTAGTATTTATGAATCAGTGTTTTAAAAATTCTAAATAATGTTCTTGAATTAATTTCATCACATTAATCACCTATCACATTAAATCCTACCAAATCAAATATGCACTATATAAATTATGGATTAATTACACTCACACCCTCTAAGGTTTGATTTATTGATAGCCGGATGAAAGTTAGTCCATTTTCGAATAATAACACCCCCTCAAGTTTGATAAAGTTAATAAAAACCACCCAATCAACCCTTTCTACACCCGACACTCAATAAAATGACCTAAATACCCTTTGATTTGTCAACAAATATATTTAAATCATGAAATGACTTGAATGCCCTTACTAACTAATTTTAATGCCAAGTACCAAAATGACAAATTTTAATCTTTCTCACTGTATTCACAGTACACATCACCACAAAGTATACAAAATCATACATATACATATATATATATACACACACACACAAATATATATATAGAAAAAGAGTATTTAGCGAGAGATTCTCCATTTATCACAAAGCAATTCCATATTTAGAAAATAAATTTCATATGCAATTATATAGATCTCATGTATCCAATTCCAATCACATCATTATTGGCAAGTTAAATTCAGAAAAGTGAATACTGTGAATTGAATCCATGACAAAATCATGAAGATTAACCCCATTACAATAACACATACATGAGATAAATGTAGAAATAGAGTATGACATAGATAAAATAAATAAATAAATGAAGATTTTAATTAAATAACAGATTTATAAAATTTAAATCTAAATTTGAAAATTTTCAACAGCAAAATTCAACCTTGCTTTGACATTTCTAGGATCATCACCAAAAATAAACAACATAGAGTTAAACCAGACGAACCAAAACCAAAATTCACTCTTATAGTGTTGGAGAAATGAGAATTCATATTTATCACCCAATTTTGGTATTGACTAGTTATCAATTCTTTTATTGTTTTCCCTCCGGCAATGTCGACCAGTGACGCCATCAAGTCCGCTGCCAATGAAGGCCAACTTCCAGCTGCACCCACCGCCGCCACGTGACGGATTTCACCGCCGATGTAAAGAAATCATCAGAATTTGTGGTAAACGGAGTTTGTTCTGAGGATGACATGAATGGCCACCGCTAATCGCTGCTCTAGTACCTGCTGCTGCGGAAAAAAATGTGCTGAGATTCCGGAAACTTGGCTGTGTAAGGTGGATGATTTTTGGAGCTCTGGTGATATTGGTGGCATTCTCGGTGTTCCTGAAGTTCTCTGAGAAGGTTAAAGGGAGAGATGAAACGGATGGGGTAGGTGACATCTGTTGCTAATATGTGAAGGGCAAAAACGTCCTTTCAAAATTTTGGTATTTTATAATTAGGGTAAATGTAACGACTCACTCCACCACATGGTATGATATTGTCCGCTTTGGGCCTGAGCCCGCATGGTTTTGCTCTTGGGCTTCACCCCAAAAAGCCTCATACCAATTGGAAGTGACACACTTACATATAAGCACTTCACCTTTCCTCTACCCAGGCGATGTGGGACTGTGCACCGGTAGCTCGCCAGTGTGGTAGCCTGTCAGTGTCTCTCGCACCCGCCCACGACACACCCGCTCACAAGGTCATCACAATCCACCCCCCTTGGAGGCCCGACGTCCCAGTCGGCACACTTCCGGCTGGGTCAGGCTCTGATACCATTTGTAACGACCCACTCCACCACATGGTATGATATTGTCCGCTTTGGGCCTGAGCCCGCACGGTTTTGCTCTTGGGCTTCACCCCAAAAGGCCTCATACCAATTGGAGATGATGCACTTACATATAAGCACTTCACCTTTCCTCTACCCAAGCGATGTAGGACTTGTGCACCCGTAGCTCGCTAGTGTGGTAGCCTAACGGCACACCCTCCCACAAGGTCATCACTATCCACCCCCCTTGGAGGCCCGACGTCCTCGTCGGCACACTTTCGGCTGGGTCAGGCTCTGATACCATTTGTAACGACCCACTCCACTACATGGTATGATATTGTCCGCTTTGGGCCTGAGCCTGCACGGTTTTGCTCTTGGGCTTCACCCCAAAAGGCCTCATACCAATTGGAGGTGACACACTTACATATAAGCACTTCACCTTTCCTCTACCCAGACGATGTGGGACTTGTGCACCCGTAGCTCGCCAGTGTGGTAGCCTGACAGTGTCTCTCGCACCCGCCCACGGCACACCCACCCACAAGGTCATCACAAGGGGGGTGGATTGTGATGACCTTGTGGGGGGGGTGTGCCGTGGGAGGGTGCGAGAGACACTGTCAGGCTACCACACTGGCGAGCTACGGGTGCACAGTCCCACATCGCCTGGGTAGAGGAAAGGTGAAGTGCTTATATGTAAGTGTGTCACCTCCAATTGGTATGAGGCCTTTTGGGGTGAAGCCCAAGAGCAAAACCGTGCGGGCTCAGGCCCAAAGCGGACAATATCATACCATGTCGTGGAGTGGATCGTTACAAATGGTATCAGAACCTGACCCAGCCGGAAGTGTGCTGACGGGGACGTCGGGTCTCCAAGGGGGGTGGATTGTGATGACCTTGTAGGCGGGTGTGCCGTGGGCGGGTGCGAGAGACACTGTCAGGCTACCACACTGGTGAGCTACGGGTGCACAGTCCCACATCGCCTGGGTAGAGGAAAGGTGAAGTGATTATATGTAAGTGTGTCACCTCCAATTGGTATGAGGCCTTTTGGGGTGAAACTTAAGAGCAAAACCGTGCGGGCTCAGGCCCAAAGCGGACAATATCATACCATGTGGTGGAGCGAGTCGTTACAGTAAAGTACATAGACACCCCGAGGTTTGGAGTAAAGACAACCAGATGAAAGTTTTCTTATTTTTGGACAACCACACCCCTGGTAAAATTTGTCATCCAAATATAGCCTTAAAACATTTGAAAAATCCATTTTACCCTTCACTATTTTATTAATTTTAATTATAAAATATCAAAATACTTAAAGGACCAAATTACCTTTTTCATCTCAAAGTTTTTCAGTGAGATTGTTCTTGGCGTTCTTTAAAGATTTTATGATTGATGATGACGGATTGGGTGATGAAAGGCTATTATAGATTCATAGAGATACAATTCATAAATTCTATGTGTATACCAAATCAAAGCCGTTGAAGGACTGTATACCAGTTACCAAATCACAAATATACAAATCTATACACACACACACACACACACATATATATAGATTGTTCGAAACCCAAACCCGGTATTTTCCACCTCTAATTGACCCTTTATTCCATCCCAAATGAAAGTCATGGTTTTCATTCCAATCTTTTCAACAAAAATCTCGAAGTCGTCGCCATCAATTCGGTGTTTGAATTGCATCAAATGTTGGCCCCGAAGCAGTGTAATAGAGAAGGTGTTGTTGGCGGTGAAGGAGATGAAGTCGATAACAGTGATGAACGTCAAGCAAGCAGCGACACCACTTCCACACCTTTCAACCACCGGCCTACGAGCGGTTCACCATCTTCACCAGCCGACGAGCGGTTCACCATCTTCAACTGGTGAAACACAGTCCTAACTCCCGCGAGCTTCACCGTTCTACCTTGCAAGCTTCATTGATCTTAAACAGAGAGCAGAACTTCATCTCCATTCAAGACCCAGAAGTTTCAACGTCAAACCCAAACGGCGGCGAACAGCGAACAACCTAAAAGGCTTCATCAATTGATCAAGATAGCTAACTTGAGTGCAGGTCAATGAGCATGAAAAAGATACAGTGATCTTAAGTATCTCCATCGATGCAAACACAAGGCCGTAACTCCATTGATTCCGACGAACTCTGAGCAGCTAAGCTCCATTGATTCCGGCCAAGCTTCATTCACACCATATACATCCAGCGAGCTTTGGCAACTATGAACACCGATGAGTTTCCTTTAGGTAAAGACGTACTGTTGAGTTGCAGTCCTATGTGCCTCCGTCCAGTGACAAACAGTTCCGGCACTACAGTCAGCAAACGGCAGTAAGATCTTCCCCTCCGCGGTTCCGGCAAGCTTCCCCGTTTCAAACTTGTGTGCTACGGTTCAGTTCAATCTGCTATAGTCTACGAGCTTCATCTCTGGCGTACTCTATCCATGTAAACAAGCTTCATCTGGGCAAGAGGAGGAAGAGAGAGAACCAAGAGAGGAGAGAGAAAGGGGTTGTGAATATGGAGGAGAGAGACAAAGGGGCATTTGATTCAAGGGTATTTGAGTCCATTGTTTTGTTAATTTTATATCAAATGGTAATGAAGTCAATTCATCATTGTCGGGGTGTCTTTGTCTATTTTATCAAACTCGAAAGGGTGTGATTTTCCAAAAATTGGATAACTTTCTTCTAATACCAAACCT